TGCTCCTGTATATGGTATAGTCTGATTGCACTTTTAAATTGTATATCTTATGAGGCTGTGGCAGTAGACCATGCCACGGGGCTCTCACCACAGCAGCCAGAGACGAACCATTAGACTAGCTTTTCAGCTCTGTGTCTCTCCGTCTCAGTTCTCCTGAGTGTTGCGTGTGTGTTCTCCCGAGGTAGCTCCGTCGCTGCCTTTTAAACCTGAGGATCCATCAGCTAACAGCTCTCACCTGCGCTGATTGATTTATCATTCTCTTTTTGCACATTTAATATTGTTAGTAGGCCTATTGCTTCATATATTGTGTGCAGGTGTATATGATTGTGTGTGCCTGTATGGTGTGCTTATGAGACGTGTATGACCACATTAACTTCCCTTTGTGAGATAATAAAAATCTTGATTGAAAACATAGTATAATATTGTAAGGAAAATTAAATACCTTGTCCATTCTCAGTCTGTGAACAACAGCCTTATGGTCTTTCAAAATTCGATTCTGCTCACACAGTCGACTCAAGAGTTTCTGTGTCAGACGGGAGAGCAGGTGGTAACCACATTATGTTGTAAAAACCAAAGAGAAAATATAAGACAGAATGAAATAGCACAAGAATGGGTCTACATGAGTACATGCTGAGGGTAGAGGCTCAGAATATACGGACACTGGAAGGTTACAGTGTCCATATATAAAATAATAAAATTATTACTATCTATTATGTAGTGGATTGTGGATGTAGTGGAGTTCAGGTAAATCAATTTTCCACACTGAACTGGGAAAACAATGTCATTATGGTGTCTTTGTATACAGGGGCACTCTTACTTTGTAACAGTAAAAGGCCAACCACAAACCTTTTAACTGCAGATAAAAACATTTAAACATGAACCTTCACATTCCTCTGGACATGAAGTGTTAAAATTGTGAAAGATCTGGATGTAAGTTTTTTTTGTATGTCAATAAATATACACATGTGCATGTAGTGTTAAATGTCTTACACTGGTTTCAATCTCATTGAGCTTCAGTGTGGGATATAACTCTCTGCTGTAGACATCATGGAAACGAGGCAACTGTAAAAACAAAGGATACAGAAATGATCTAATCATCATCATCATCAATCAAACAGTACAGACACTTAATGATCCAGAAAAACTATTAATCATTATTTTGCTGGCTCAGTTGTCATGTTTTCTCCAGTGGATTGAAGGTGATTCATTTACTTGACGTTACAGTAGTTGGAAAGAACTCCACAAAGCCATTCTTTAACCTGGTGTTCAACAATACCTTGGCATCTTGATATTGGATACCTGCCTGTTACCTCATGTGTAACTGTCACATAACACTGTACCAGTACATCAATATATATATATATATATATATATATATATGTAGGTACTGGGGTACAAGATTTGAAGTAGTAAGGGAGTGAAAATTATCGATTTGAAGAAGAAATTACTGTCAGATCTCTTAACTAATAAACTACTTATTATATTATTACAGGGTATATATAGATTGGTTCTGTGATTCACTTTCAAAGCAAATTTGTTTGTAGCTGCCTTTTTCACATAGGTATCATTGCAAAAGTCAGGCATGTCCTGTCTCAAAACGATGCAGAAAAATTAGTCCATGCCTTCGTTAACTCCAGACATGATAACTGTAATTCCCTTTGGTCCACCGGTAACTCTTTAAAGACTTTCCAGCTTTTCCAAAATGCTGCACCATGTGTATATACAAGAAAAATTCTCCTCTTTCAAAGTCCTTAATGATATGGCACCGTCATACCTTAAAGAACTCACAGTACCATATCACCCCACTAGAGCAATGTGCTCTCAGAATTCAGACTTAGTTGCCATCCCTAAAATCTCTAAAAGTAGAGGAGGAGCCAGAGCCTTCAGCTATCAAGCTCCTCTCTTATGGAATCATCTTCCAGTTTCAGATAGTGAGGTAGGCACCCTCTTTACGTTGAAGAGTATATATGCTTAAAAGCTTCTTTTTTGGTTAAGGTTATAGTTTGAGCTGGCTTGGGTCTGCCTTGGACCAGCTTTTACTCAAGCTGCTATTTAAGATTGTCAGGGGACACGTGACGCATAACACACTTCCTCATTTACTTGTTCGCAGAGCTATGCTGATGAGGATGAGTGATCCACCATTCGGATAACCTAACCAAAAAGGTGAACCATGCTGAAACTATGCTAGAAGCTCTGACAATACTGTTATCTAGCTAATTTACAAGCAAGCTTCCTTTTGTAGGGGAGAAGCTCCTGGGCAGTGCATCTATGGGCAGCACTTTTTCTATGAGGGGCCATTTGGAATTCAGTATCTTGCCTAAGGACACTTCAGCATGCAGATGGGGAGAACGGGAATCGACCTTCCGGTTGTACCCCTCAGCCACAGCCAATGTAAACATAGTATGTATACTTGCAAACAACATTGTGTATGTGTGTGTGTGTCTACCTGCTCATCTAGGTATTCCAGGTTACGTTGAAGTTGACGGTCTAATATGTCCTCCTGAGCCAAGTAGCACAACAAGCAGTACAACAGTGACACACATGTAAATCACATAGACACATACTGTACAGCTTTCAGATAGGCCAGCAGCAAAGCAAAGCTAAACACCACAGCCAACATGCTACGCATATTGGAAGTCTACCAGTAGACTGTCAGGGGACACATGACACATGGAACCTCTCATTCCTTCTCTCCCTCTTTATCAAGTTAATGTTTTATGTACATGAGAATTGCATAAAGAATTGCGAGTCTCCATCAGATTTCGTGCTGCATCTGGCTCCCTACAAAATTGTAGTACATTGGAAGCTGCTTATATTGATCGTTTTTGTCCCGGGCCAAATTAATCACTATAAGCGGTTAATTACTATTAAAAAATTGCTTACTTTCTGTATGATAGTTATAGAACATGAGGGAAAGATAATGGTGCCACATACAAACAAACACACAATAACTCGGACACGTGTTAACTCACACTGGGTAAAAACATTATGAGTGAACTTAGACAACGTATGGAAAGCCAGAGGAGATGGTGGGTGCTCGGTTTGGCTCAATTCGGTTTGTAATGTGCAGCAAATGATAGACACATAGGGAAGCATGAATTACTGACAAAGCCAGGAAAAACTGTAAAATTCACTTTTTTACGGTCCAAAGCTGTATGAAATGACCCAAAATGATCAGTGTAAGCGGACTTAGTGGAGCTGTCGCTAGGTCAATGCTCCGGCTCTGTGTGCACTGCCTGGGACAGTGGAGCTGTGCATGGCTCCCTGGGTGTCTGCCCTGGCCTTGGTACACCCTCCCCATGCTGGTTGAACGTGAGGTGCAAACAAAATAGTGACATGCTTAATAGGAATTGTCAAGAGTCTCACCTGTGGTCTGAAGCTCCACAAGGTATCTTAAATGGCCAACCCTAACCCTAACCTTAACATGGTCACATTTTCCAAAACTGGAAAACTGTTCACAAGTGTTTGTTTTCACTGATAACATTGAAATTTTGTCTTTCAGTCAAGTGGTTCCTGTCTCCTATTATTCTGCCCCATATTCCATTGATCATGGGTCACGGGTGGTGTAACTTTTTATCTAAGGGTGCTCCAATTGATCGGCCACTGATCCATATAGGTAGATATTCCCTCTAATTAGTTTGATTGGGGATCTCTATTCTTTTTTTCAGTGAATACTTTTGCACTCTAACTTAGGTTGTTATTTGATGAGTACTTTTTGGTTTTTTTCGCTAGAGCCCATGGCTGAAATAGCTAACTAGTGAGACATATTGCTTCCATTCTCATCTATGTTGAGAGTTGCACATGTGCATAATCGATTAAACATGACAATGGCTGCATCGTGGGCTATGCTGATCTGCTTCTCTGTGATGTGGGTACAATGTAGGTTTTTACTTTGTGATACTATTTCAAACAATCTGCCCCAAGTCCTGATTGGAACACCATTATCTGTATCCTTAACAATTTTTTTTAACAAGGAGTCGTCCAATTCATTGTTTTGGCATCGTCTGACAAATTATCATTTTGGTGGAACTTGGCGATGAGAGGAAATATTTGCTCCAGCCACAGGTGCTACAGACGTTTTAATTGTTTTGTTTCAATGTAGGTAGGTGCATGTGGTCTCGGTGAAGACTTAATTTTAATGAGTGGCATTAACACTCTATTTGACCCATTTTAAGTTTCATTTTTCCTGCAAGTGATCTCACAGTGACACAGTGAGGAAAATTAAGTGATGTTAACTCGAGTTTAAAGAACTTTTTTGTTCATTTAAAAGTAAATAGTCCATAATAACTTTATCAAACCACCTCTTTATATAAGTATATATACTTTTTTTTTCACATGCTGAGTTGGTCAGTATTTGAATATAAAGAGCCTTTTCTGGGGTAAAGAAAACTACAATTCATACAATTTAGATGAAATTAACTAGTGAAAACATCCTCAGAATTATTCTACATTAAATTTCTGCCAATAGATCCCTTTCACCTAAATCTTACACACTGGACCTTTAAAGGGAGATATACGCTAAAAACGTTTTTGGGGGAAGTTTGTGACTTTAACTGGTATAGACACTTGTCAAGTTCTGATACCCTCACTACCCTCCATGTCTCCTTCACAGTGGGGAGCACACAGTCATCACAGTGAAGTCAGACAGGCATGCAGCACCTCCCACCTCCCAGCTCCTGTCCCAGCTGTGGTGGTTTCTCTTCGCTTGTGTGGAGGTGAGTGGTGATGAACAAAGGACTAAGATACCAGTGCCTCGAGTTTTCAGCTAGTTAGCCAAAAGACAAAAACAAATATAGTTAACTTGTCTCTTGCTAATATAAATGCATGAGCTACTAGCTAAAAAAAAATAAAGAAAAAGTCCACCAGACGTTGCTTAACAAGCGGACTGAAGGCACCTCATCAGAAGATATAAGCAAAGATTTAGGCTGAAAACTCGATGAAAATGACCTTGTTTCGAGTCGAATATGAATGCCAGGGCTTGGGGAAACTTGGATGACACCACACCAGCAGTATGGAGGCATGTGAGTTTTTTATGTTGTTTTATTACATCTGAACTATCTCATTAAAAATGCAGATTAGCTTGTTTGGTGAATTTAGGAGAAATTTACAGATGCAGACAGACAGGGGGTAGTAAAACAAACACCATCTCAATGTATAGTTTTAGAAGTGTGTGTGTGTGTGTCTATGGTAAGTTTAATAATAATAATAATGTATTGGATAATTTATGTAATCAGGCAATACAGTATTATCTTGCTTCGCTATTGAAGCTGAAGGTTAACTTGTGAAACAAAAAGTTTAAAAAAAACATTTATTTCAAAGTTGAAGTATTTTTGCATTACCTAAATAAATTTTTCGCGGTGTTTTTTCAGCATTTTTGCAGTGCTTTCCCCAGCAAAATTAACAAAATGAGTAGGAGAAGAGAGCAGAATTCACTAAGCCGAATTGTTGCAACTAAACATAGGCCTGCTCTGTAGTTTGAAGGGTAGGTTGGTTTGCTTATTTATGTAGGAAACAGTCTTTTTTTCTTTCTTTTTCAGTTTTGTGTGAAGATTTAAGTTGATTTTCAAGTGTTATTTATTTCAATACCACCAAAAGAATTCAAAGGATTTATTGTCATGTGCAAAAATAAATAGATTATTAGTCTAAAAATTCTTACTTACTTGTTCCACTCCCTGGTGCAGTCAGTCAGAAGTCAGAGATGTGCTATAATATCGAACTTTTAGTTTTAACTTTTAATAAATAATTATAAAAAATGTCCCTTTCGCACTTGAGCCCCTGCCCCCCAAAATGTATGAGCATGTCCCTACCACAGGTCCAATTGTAAGTGCTATAGCTATTGTAGATTGTGCCAATGTGTGACTTCTTATGTTATCTAGTCGATACATATGTGTACATTAGTGGCACATACCATTTTATTCTGGATGGAAGGGGATACAGGGTAGTTATGGTGGTATAATCCTTGGTTTAAGGACCTCCTGTCGCCAGAGTAGTCATACTGAAGGAAAGAGGAAAAGTAATAAGAAAAGATGGAAGGGAACAATGGAGATGATATTTAACATTGTAAAGGAGAGTAAGGTGAGTGTGGTTTCAAATGAGACAATCATAATAGTTTAAATCACCAGCATTATTCACAATACTGATATTGTCAAAGTTTGAAAGTCAGTCAATTTAACCTTTGACTTGGTTTCTTTGTATTTGATCTAATTTTTAGCAAATGTATTACACTCAGAATGCAACAAAATAATAATGCCTACTAGGTTTGTGCAGTAAGATAATGGTCTAAGTTATTGAAGATGGTTAGAGTGATTAAAGATATTATTCATAACAATAGTATTAAAGTAATAAAATGTGCAACCTTAATTTGCAACCTTTTGTCATAACTCCAGGGGGATATGCATTATAGAGACAGATCACTGTGAGCCATAAACAACTGTTTCTACCAAGCCTATCTCACTTTCTCAAGGAGTGAAAGATTGGCTCAGCACACCCCTAGTTACGACACATGAAAGTAAAACATCAAGATCACATTCTTTCTTTCATTGCTGTTGACCATTTGAAAATCTTCAGTAAGGATAAAGGTAATTTACACTCTTTTCAAACCTTTAATTATTGGAAATGGCTTGGGTATTCAAAAATTTGATATTTTGAGCTTTCATTATTTTAGCCTATTTTATTTTCCTGGAATTCCATTCATTCAGTGAATGGGAACAACATGGGACACATGTTTGGCTCTATCAATAAGTACGATTTTAGCACAAATAACAACATAAGTAAGTTGTGGTCTGTTGTAACACAATGAAACATCATACTGATGGTACAGATATCTTTAATTTCTACAAACCCTCCATAACCCTCTTTGTTCTATAAATAATATAGTATTTAATAATATTAGAGGATAAAATAAGAATAAAACTATATTTTGCTTTGGAGGTACACTGATGGCATTACAATCTATGATAATTTTCACTTTTATTAATAAAGCAGGAAATAAAGTACTCTCTCACAACTCTCATAACCCTCTTTGTACAAATAAAGCCACACTCGCTCACCTTTGGTGAGCCGAGAGATCTCCTCAGGCTGTAAATTGATGGATCAGCATAGATCACATCATCCCTCATCTTCCCTGGAAATCGGGCCGATAATGATCGAGCTGGTGAGGCAAAGTGTGGTGGCACCGGTGAGTAGGGCCCCCCTGATGAGGAAGACGATGACCGAGGCACAGACCTTGAGCGTGGCTGGATGGACAGTCGCCTCATGGATGTTTCCATTCCCCCATAGCACTGTGCCCCCCATGGGTCCCTGGGCATTAGGTGCGCATACAGCTGATGAGGTCCATCCCTCAGAGAGTGACGCTTCTCCGAGGTCCAGCCTCTGTCATATCCCTCCACAGCAGAGACGGAGCAGATGCTGTCTGGTCTGACACCTGATGGGTACATAGGGAAATCCTCCACATACTGGGGACCACCAGGATAACCACAGTAGTCAGCAGAGACCACCCGATTAACTGGGTAGTATTGAGATGGGCTGAAATAACAGGATGACATTTAGACCACTTCATAAGTCATCTCAAGTAAAAAATACAGAATTTCATTGACCTATAGTCTGACCACTTAATTTTGTTTAATAAGGGAATGCTGAAATACAGAATAAAATAAATATTTTGTTTTGATCTAACTGCATGCTATCAAAAAAATTGAAAGATAATGAATGATGTGGGGGGGACACCTCCGAACAGCTACTGAACTGCCAGTTAAGAATAATGGCATACAGAACTTCAGCAGCATCAGTGTTTTAATACTATTCCAATGTGCACTGGAAAAGAGATACATGTTTTATGTTTCCCCTCTTCTCTATTGATCTACCTGTCATCCTGGGAAACCATGCCCCGGCGCTGGTTGACCCACTGCTGCAGCTGAGCCATGGAGCTTTTCCTCTGGGCCACCCTCTCTAGAGATGTCCTGGGCACAAAGCCTCTCCTCAACACAACCTTCTCTTGTTGTTCCCTGGGGTCCTGTAATGGACCAACAACACCCTCTGAATGTCCATGAGAGGCACAATGTCCGCTGTTCCTCCTGGACAGAGGGTGTTTGTCATTGCTTATCTGGGACATAATATTGGCTGGGCCATAGCTTCCCCAACCATTTGGATGATGATGGTGAGGTGCATGATCAGTGCCAGGTCCTCTTCCATTATCTTCACCTTCTCCAACTTCTCCTCTGTTAATCCCTTTTCCCTGTTGATCTGAGAGGTGGTGAGTAGAAAGAAATGGTTTTTGACGGCTGTTCGCCTCATTAATCTTAGAATGGGTGGGCAGGTTGGTCTCAGTTTCATTGTGTGTTTTTGGGTGTGGATGCTTCTGAGGGTCAGGTGTCACCATAGTTTTGTTGAGATCCCCTGTGGTGTCTGTGTAGTTTGTTCTGAGAAATTTGAAGACAAAAAAAAACATTAGCATACACAGGCAGTTTGAAGTGTTTCAAAAACAAACCGATTCTGCTATATTAACAAAAAGAGACTTCAAAACCCACAAAACCTCATCACCTGGCCAAGTCACTGAGCCAGTGCTTGACACATGAAATAATCCATTAAATTGGTTGTCTAGAAATATGTTATTATTAATATTGTTTTAATCTTTTGTCTATTCATGACGTGACTGTAGTTATGAAGGTAAAAAAGTCTCTGGTGAGACAAAAAATAATAATAATTAGACAGTTGCGTGACCGTTTTTCTTTATAATCATCATCAGGAAGTGTAGCAGATCATCCACAAAACAGAAAGTTGATGGTTTGATCACCAATAATCTCCACAGTCCAAAGTGTCCTTGGGCAAGGAACTGAGCCCAGACCACTGCACCACTGAAACTGACTGACCTCAGGTCATACTCATATACATCCTGCTTACTGTCCAATTCACCTAGGGACACAAGTTTGTTTATGGGTATCTTGAATTTTCTGTGTAGGCTGTTTATGGCTCAAGAAAACACACCTAATAGTCAAACTCAATGAGTGGGGGTTGGAAACTAGCAGTAAGAAAAAGCGTGACAAGAACAAAGGACATAAATTGTACATAATGGAACGGGCTGTCGACGACCAAGAGCAAATTGTTAACGCTAACCAGCAAACCACAACAATGTGCTCAGGGCTGGATGCAATTAGCCAAGAGATACAGGGACCTCAAAACCAAAATGAAAAAAGACTTGACTACACTCAAAGAACAAGTTGCAAAAGACGTTAAGTCTGAAATCAACAAATTAAAACAAGAAATATACCAGCAGCTCTCTGCTAATACCAACACTTTACAGACACAAGGGACCAAAGTTGCAGAGGGTCGTATTATGGAAATGGAAACGTGGAATGTAGAGGTGAAGGATGTGCTGTGTAAATCTCTTAAGCAACAGAAATCTCTAGAAGTAGAGTAGAAGGAATAATATACAGATCTATGAGATAACCGAAGACAAAGAAGTGGACTCTGCCTCGACTTATGTCCAGCAGCTGCTCACAATGGAACTCTCACTGCCACCAGACCTCAACCTGCAACAAATCCAATGAGCCTACAGAGCTCTGACCCAAAAGCTGGTCATGGTTGTTAACTTTTTGGAATTTACAGTCAATTTATTAAGAGAAACAAGGTGCTTTCTAAGCTAAAAAAGGAAAAGGTTTGAATATTGTTTTTACAGGAAACAAAATTTATTCAAAAAATACATGAGAAACTCACACATCTAGGTTACAGGAAAACATTTTACAGCTTCAACTAACCTAACAATAAGATTGGAGTAGCAGTAGTCATACCAAACTCTGTACAATTCGAAAGCTCTATAGAAATAACAGATAAAGATGGGTGTAAATCAGAGGGTAACACTAGTACATGTCTATGCCCCCGTCCAGAAAGTAGGAAATGTTGTTTGAACACCTATTCAATCTCATAGCTTTGGAAACTGAAGGCATTTTGATATTTGGAGGTGATTTTCATGTGTTACTGCACCATGGCATAGAAACTACAAGTGTCCTAAAGACAAAATACACTTATCAAGGTTTATAAATACAACATCTGCTGGAAAGAGATAAGGCACATGACTCGGGAGCTCTCTCTGTCTACTCCAGAATTCAGTACTTCTTTATTAACGCTATCGAAAGATTGGAGTGGTGAGTATCTCAGACCATAGCCCCATATCTGTGACAATTTACTTAAACAAAAGACAGCAAAATACTTTATGGAGGTTGAATATTGGTATTTTCAACAATAAGACAGTAGTAGATCAAATAAGGGCAGAGATTAAAAATATATAGAGGGGAGGTAGATCCTGCCATATTGCCTTAAAAGCTGTTCTGTGTGGGAAATTGATTGCCATATCCTCAACACAGCAGAAGGGAAAAAAATCTAACAAGTGGGAATCCTAAAGGAACTAGAGGGATGACATTAAAAAATCTCAAGAACCTGATGTTCTACAACAAATAGTAAGGGAGGATATAGACAATATTCTTAGAGATGAGATAAAAAAGAAAGATAGGGGTATAGCGGTCGTCCTCCAACCAGAAGGTCGGAAGCTCGATTCCCAGTCTTCCCATCTGCATGCCAAAGTGTCCTTGGGCAAAATGCTGAACCCCGAATTGCCCCATAACAACAATAAAAGTGCTACTCTAGATGTACTGAATGTGTGTGTGAATGGGTGAATGGCAAACTGTAGTGTAAAGCGCTTTGAGTGGTCTTCAAGACTAGAAAAGCGCTACCTAAATACAACCATTTACTATGAATCGGGTCCGAAGGCTATTAAATTACTCGCAAGAAAATTACGCAAACAACCATCTATTAATAAAATTAACAAGATAAGAAACCCCAAAACCCACCAATAGTTTCATGAAGCAGAATAAATAATTAATGTGTTTGAGGATTACTATAGGAAGATGGAAAGATAAAGAAATGAAAGTTATGGATTTCCAAATTCCAGTTTTGCTGGATAGTAACAATTCCTAATTCTATTTATTAGTATGAAATAGGCAAGAGATGAAGACCAGGAAAAAACATTTGTCTCTCTTTGAATTTGGCAAGTGTTCAAGTTGATAAGTGGGAATAAACAGTTGCATGTAAAAGTGTTTGAGTGGAAGACAATATGAAATACCAAAAAAAACTTAAAGTGGGTGGTATGTTTTAACAGATATTGGGAAGTTGGATATGATTGTCTAAGGGTATGTCACATATGGCTTGGTGTATGTATTTGAAAAGCACCTCTGCGTTGGCTGAACGATGACTTCTGTAGCCTCACTCATTGCTGTGATCCATTCCTCCTGCTCCTCATGACTGTCTGCACTGAAGTAGTATGTCTTGGTCCCAGCATGCTCTGCCTGCATGCAAAACACAATGGAATTCTTCAGCTCCTCCTTGTCACACTCTTCCTTCAACCACACCTGCAGAGGGAGACAAATCACAGAGCGGCAGAACATGAATATCAAAGATGTTTTGATATTTCTTTATCTTTCCATCTTCCTATAGTAATCCTCAAACACATTAATTTACATTAGCAGTATGATGTAAACACTGCACCAGATAACCAGTCAGTGTTAACATCATACTTGACTTACAAATTATGTTAATTATCCACAACTTCATGTCCTCATGTAATAAAGACATATTATATTGTATATATGAAGACTTTCCACTAACAAACATGCAAAAGGATTTATTTTCACATTTCAGGCCGTTTTTTGTATAACTATAAGTAGTAATCTCACCAAACAGGCCTGGCAACTTCATAAGACCTGCACTTGTTTCATTTCAGATGAACCTGAAACTGTTGCAGAAAACAGCTACTGTAAAGCAAAGGAAGTAGGTCAAAGTTCAGCTAGAAGTGGGTTTTGAAGACAGGTCTGAGAATGGAGGGTGTTGAGCATAATGTATGGTTTATGATACTGGAATATTAATAAAATGGCTTGACTTCAGTTTTGTTTAATGTTTATTATGATTACCTATTTCTCTCTGGTTGTGTCTGGCCTTTGTCACTAACTTGTCTGGCTGCTCATGCTTCTTCTTCAGATTTCTATTGTTACTGATATAATGAATGTAAATAAATGTGAAAATAACAGGAGTTAGAAGGCCATCAGGTCTCATGGACCTCGAAGGTGGGAGGGAGAGAAAACAGTGGCGACAGAAAAGGTCAAGGGTTTTTGTTTCAAAGGTTTGGTCTTCAAGACTAGAAAAGCGCTACCATTTACCACAGAGCCGGCCCTGTCCAGCTTGGATATGTCCTTCTTGGAGGCCACAGTGTAGAAAAGGACACTGGTGTCCACAGGAGTTTCCTTCAAATGGTAAAAGCCTGCTCTGTCCCCTCCTGTACAGATGTTAGTGTGAGTTGTCCAGTCCAGTTAACTTTCCAGCCACAGCCCGAGGTACTTGTAGGAATCTACAGCTTCCACCTCAACTCCCTCAATCAGAACTGGTTGCGACATTAGGGGAGTCAATGGAACAGTCAAGAGGGGCAAAGTGATTTCGCATTTGAGACAGCTCAAAGGGGATATTTATTTCCTTCAAGAAACTCACCTTAAGACTTCTGAGATTTCACGTATTAAAAGACCTTGGATGAGTCATGTATTTCATTCCAGGTTTTCTGCAAGGGCAAGAGGGGCGGCCATCATTATAAGTAAAAATATAGCATTTGAGCCGACAAAATCTATTGAAGATCCCAATGGCCGTTTTGTGGCTGTGTAAGGCAAGCTGTTTGACATCCCGGTTATCCTGGTGAGTGTCTATGCCCCTGTGTGGGATGATGACAAATTTACTACCCATCTTTTTCCTTCCCTCCCAGACATGGACAGTCATTACCCGATTATATATATTATTACCTTATTCAAGACCCTGTTCTAGATAAGTCCTCCGCTACGCTCCTTACTTTGTCCAATTCCGCTACTACTTTGAAATCTTTTTTAAACCAGCTCGGCCTATGTGATCCTTAGAGATCTCTTAATCCATCCAGCAAAGCCTTTTCTTTTTTCTCCAATGTCCATCATACATATTCTAGAATCGATTTTTTTTGCGTAGATAACAGGTTATTACATTGGGTCAACTCCAGCAAGTATCACAGTATAGTGATTTCAGACCATGCTCCTACATCTGTCATCATACACTTTCCGAACCATAGTCCTCCACACCCACAGTGGAGACTTTCCCACTTTTTATTGAATAACTCACATTTTAAAAAATTCTTTCAGGAGGAAATAGCTTTTTTCTTTCACGCGAACAACACCCCAGACATCTCAAGAAGCACTCTTTGGGAGGCGTGTAAAGCGTATCTGAGGGGCCAGGAGATCTTGTTTGCCTCTCGGCAGAAAAAAGCAGACACAGAGAAGATGGTTTGGCTCTCGGATCAACTGGTCAGTATCGATACGCAATATGCCGCTGCCCCTACCCCCTCTCTTTATGACCAACATTTTAAACTTCAGGCTGAATTTGACCTTCTGTCAACTTCCAAGGTTGAAACTAAATTATTAAAAACAAAGCAACGTTATTTTGAAATGGGAGACAAGGTGGGTAAACTCCTTGCCCATCAAGTTAGAACCTCAGCTCTCTCCAGACTGATCCCCAGGATAAAATCACCATCGGGATTGGTCATCACCGACCCCAAATCGATAAATGATAGGTTTTTGACTTTCTACTCTAACCTGTACACCTCAGAGTACTCACCAGAAATCTGGAAAAACCATAATCCCCTGGAGATGCTCTCATATCCTAAAGTTGAGAGCATTCTGGCTGATAAATTGGGCCCTCCGATCGCATTGGCAGAAGTACATGAGGCGATTAGACAGCTACAGAATGGCAAGTCTCCTGGCCCAGATGGATTTGTAGTAGAATTTTATAAAGCATATTCAAACCTAATAACCCCACATTTGGTTAATGTCTACAGCGAATCCTTTAATAGCGGCAGATTGCCCCCAACCTTATCAGAAGCCAATATCTCTCTTTTATTAAAAAAGGACAAGGACCCCCTTGAATGAAGCAATTATAGGCCCATCTCACTTTTAAATGTGGACCAAAAGATTCTCGCCAAAGTCCTAGCCACTCGTCTGCAGGAAGCCCTACCTACCCTAATCTCCTCAAAACAGGCTGGGTTCATGGCTGGAAGGAACTCCTCGTCCAATACCAGGAGACTTCTCAACATTATCGGCTACCCCAACCCTGAAACACCTGTGGTGGTCATTTCCCTAGACGCTGAAAAAGCATTTGACAGGGTTTAGTGGTAGTATCTGTACTACCTCCTATCTAAATTTGGTTTCAGTTCTGATTTTATTGCATGGATTAGACTGCTTTATGATTCTCCCACTGCCCACATCCTCACAAATGGATTGAGGTCGCCTTCTTTCGCCCTCTGTCGGGGCACCAGGCAAGGGTGCCCCCTCTCCCCCCTCCTATTTACTCTAGCTATCGAACAATTAGCCATCTGGCTTCGGGGGGAGGGGGGAGTTGAGGGCATCACCAGGAATGGAGTCACCCACAAGCTGTCCCTTTACGCTGATGTCTTGCTATTATATGTATCAAACCCAACCTCGACCATCCCTGTTATCTCCAAAATTTGACCCAATTCGGCAGATACTCCGGTTACAAATTAAATTTTAACAAAAATGAACTACTTCCCATCAATGAATTGTCTAGGAGGATACCATCTTCCTCTTTCCCATTTAGAGTTGTTTCAGAGGGGTTTTGATATCTTTGCATTTTTGTAACCGCTTCTATCAAGGACCTTTTTGATAAAAATTTTCGCCCCCTCATTGATAAGTCTAAGCTAGATCTGACCCGATGGTCCTCCCTCCTTCTCTCCCTAACTGGCAGAATTAACCTGGTTAAGATGGTGATTCTACCTAAATTTCTCTATTTGTTCCAACATATTCCGATTTTTGTCAGGCGGTCTTTCTTTCAGCAACTAGACCAAACACTCTCATCGTTTCTGTGGTTGAAAAAGCTGCCTCGTATTAGAATTTTTTTTTTACAATTCCCCAAAAAGCAGGGCGGTCTTGCACTGCCCAACCCTATCCAATACTACTGGGCGTGCAATATTAACAAAATTAGTCATTGGCTTGATAGAGGAACCAACACAGGCCCCTCATGGGCCTATTACAATGTTTTTTCAGAGTACACTACACAAACGCCCGGCTGGCAAAGATTTATACAGGCACCAGTGACAGTTGTAATAGATGTAAACAGTCTCCTGCTAACCACACACACGTTTTGGTCCTGTTCAAACCTCACTGGCTTTTGGCGCCAAATTTTTGATACACTTGCAACAGTGTTTAATATGGATCTYAATCCTGAACCTTGCAYGGYCYTGTTTGGCTTGCCCCCACTTATGWCACCCAATCTCCCAGCGTCAAAAYGTCRGGTATTGGCCTTTACAACCCTATTGGCTAGACGCCTTATCTTATTTAAGTGGAAACATGTTCTCCCACCCTCACACAGCTGGCTTAAGGTGGTCCTAACTCATATCAAACTTGAGAAGATTAGATTCTCACTGGCGGGATCTGATAACGCCTTCATCAAAACATGGCAACCCTTTTTAGAGTACTTAAACAGAGTTACTATTCACCCAGAAAGTGATTAGATGCCCCTCCCCTCCACCTCCTCCTCCCCCTCCTCCTCCTCCCCTTATTTACTTATTTATTCAATTTTAATTATTTATTTACTTTACTTACCTACTTACCTACTTACCTACTTACTTGCTTATTTATTTATCTAATTTACTTTTTTATTATTATTTTTTTTATTTTATTGTTTTTTTTGTTTTATTTTTTTCAATTTTTTTTTAGTTTTGATGTATTCATTTATATTTTTGTGCGTCAGCCTAACAGTGGATGGGAAGGTATAAGGGTTAATAGGGTTCGCAGAAGCCGTTCAGGCTTAGTTCCAGTTCGATAGAGCATTAGGTAAAGCAGCCAACAACCACTGTTCAACAGCTTATTTTGCACACACTGTACATGTGAACTGCTTGTATATGTAAGTGAAAAAACCCAATAAAAAGATTTATAAAAATAACTTGTTGCGGTCTTGGTCCGGACCTCCTAAAGTCAATGACCAGCTCCTTTGTTTTTGAGGTGTTGGGCTGTAGATGGTTAGTGTGGCACCAGACATCAAAATCCCTCACCAGGCTCCTATACTCCTCCTGTCCCTGATGCAACCAACAATGGCTGTGTCATCTGTGAACTTCTGTATGTGACACAGCTCAGAGTTGTAGCAGAAGTCTGAGGTATACAGGGTGAAAAGAAGATGAGCCAGCACTGTGCCCTGGGGCACTCCAGTGCTGCTGATCACAGTGTCAGACGTAGTGTCCTTCAGCCTGACGTACTGCAGCCTGTCGGTGAGGTAGCTGGAGATCCAGGCGACCAGGCAGGGGTCCACTCGCATGCTGTTCAGTTTGTCCTGAAGC